ATCCATTGAGCGCTGGACATTAAACTGGGACTGGGATGATATCTTCCCTCAGTACATCGTGTAGCATCGGTTAATTACACTTACAGTGTTCTCTATGGAAGAACTCAAAGTCTTCGTTTTAGGGTTGTTTGTATCGCTAAGGAAGGGATGCCAAGATAACTGCAATTTCACATCGAAAGGGAAATCTTGTACTAGAAGGAAGACAATATGAAATTAGGAATCAGTTATTATGAAGTAGAAACAGATCAGTTAAATATCAAATAAACACTCACTAGATAAAGGATGGTTGGAAGGGTATTTCGGTAATTTTGATCTCGAATTGCAGTATTCTCCGAACCTGCGGGATACGACTTTTTTAGCATTTTGGACAGTCCTCTACCGTTTTCCAAGCTTTTTCCAGTTTCCGATTGTTTCGGAAACAGGCTGAGATTGACAATTCTTAATTGTTAATTGTTCTTAATCGACAGCGTGACGTCATGAGCATACTTACTTAGAGTGGGAGTGGGTGCTACATTACTGTTCTGTTGGTCAGCGGCACTCGGGTTGTTGTTGCCTAAAATATTCATAATTGATAAATTTATCAAAGGGTTACTTTTTATTAGATTTGCAACTCTGAGAACACATGGTATTCAAAGGAAAGGGACGGCCATGCCCATTTGACTCATTTTATAATCATAGTTTGAGAATGCATGACTGAAACAAGCGGGGAGTCTTAAGATGATGGGAAATAAACAAAGATAGAATAAGACTTCAGATTATATTGGAGCTATCGTAGAATTGTCCAATCAGTAATTAATTTTTAGCCGTATGTACCAAACAGCTATGAGTAGCTCATTGCACATCTTAAATTACAACAACAATAACAACAAAACAGCAACTATAAACATTAGAAGGATTGCAACAACAACAGCGACAATTGCTGCGTGTATCGCACGAGACATTACCTCCCAAGACAACAAAGTAATCTGGGTAGACCATCATCCCAGAGATGTGTCCATCTGACACAATGGCGCGGAGATGTTTGACCGGATCCAGCTCGTCCGATACAAACTGCAGCTCGATGTCTGCTAAAACGCTTGAGGTAGGTTCATTGGAACTTCTACAGAAAAAAGAACAAAAATAACGCCGCATGGGCAATCAAAGTTCCGTTGTGCGTTTTATTGAAGAATCTAATCCAAAGCCATTTTCATGTTTTGTCAAAGGTGTGCGGAGAGCAAAATAGCGATATTCAAAGACGCTCAAAGATTTCTAAGGCGATTTCGAAAACTTTCCATAAATCCATGAAGTTGGCCCGAACAAATAGAATTTCTAACCACCGGGAAAACGAAGAATATCAAACACCAACGTAACTTGATAAAGTGATGTGATTTGAATTGTTGCTTGGCAAAACATCTCTTTTGATTCTTATTAACTAAAAAGAATGGCACAGTTTGGCCAATCACTTTTCAAATATGTTGTCCTTCCTACTTACTTTAACGTCATTACCGCAGAACTGAGGTAGTTTGTGTCCCCAATGAGCTCTGTCGTTATCTAAAACAATTCAAAAAACATTATGAGCCAAAAAAATTAAAAATCAATAAAAAGGGTTGAAATGAAATAGTAGGTCAAAATAATAAAGGCACAAGACACTGTCGAAAATAATTTTCTAGTGACTCTTGAACCGGGAATGGTTTGTCTCACTGAAATGGAAAATGGCTGATCTCAATTTTGGGAAAAGATTGAATTGAAGGAGTTTCTTGACTAGCAATTAACTGAACCGATGTAACTCCTTCCAGGATAATTCTCGCCCAAACGATTGGACCAGACGATCAAATTAGAAAAGTAGTACAACCCCTCGTCTCTTGATTTCAGTTTTAGAAGCTTTTGGAGAAAATCAGACACCCTCCTCTTGATGAAATTTGCGAGAACAGGTACTTACTGCATCAACAATATTTCCATCCATCAGCTTATACTGAGAACTCTGGCTGTCGGACATTTCCTCGAGCCATTTCTTTTTGAATTTTATCTCCACCTTAGTTTTCGTGGCTGCAATAAAAATTAAATAAAACTTTTTAAATAAGCAGAAAGTTATGACTGAGTGCTTTGAGTGTGAGGTGAAACTTTGGGTTCTTTTATCTACGTGTGATAAAATAAATTTCGTTTTTTACAATAACAACCAACGCAAAAATTTATTTCGATTCGAACGAAAATTATTTGATAAAAGAGGCAAATGAAGTCAAAACTTTTGTTTTTAAGTTAAATAATGTCACGCTTAGCACATAATTATCTACTGGCTGGAAATGCGAAAAGATATTTGAGAGTAAATGATACATTTTATGAAGTGAGATAGATCATATATTTATTCTATCTCATTTATCACTTTCACGGGTTTATTGCGAACCAACTTAACGGCCTGCTCCCAGTTGGCTTGTTAGCTCAATTGGTAGAGCGCTGCACTAGTATCGCAGAGGTCAGTGGTTCGAGTCCCGTACAGGCCTGATTTTTTTTTCAGGTCTGATTTTCGCTATTGCGTAAATAGCGCTATCTACTGCGAGGATCGTGCATCATACGTATTTTATGAAGTGTTGGGTTCAGTTGTTCAAAGGTCGGATAACGCTGTTCAACGGATAAATCGTTATTCAACGGATAAGCATCAAGGATATCCAGCCGATAGTGTTATTCACCCTTCGAACAAACGGAGCCTGCATTTTATTTTGACATTAATTTGGAACTCTGGATGCACGAGGGCTGGGACCAAGGGGAAGATGGATAGCCTACAAACCTGATTTGGAAAGGGCTATTGGACTGTCTAGTTTTTAGTTATCTCTAATCACTATGTTGATACATCGAAAGGTCCTCTTTTTTATCTTTTTGACGCTCATAACACAGCCTCAACATGTGATCCATTTCTTGGAATACACGAATTACGCCGTAAATTAGCCCAAAATTTAAAAAAAAAAAAAACAATAGTTATGTCCAATCAATTATTCCAAATCGACATTAACTGTTGGTAGGTCTGTTTCCTATTTGTATTACTATAAAGGTTCATAATGATAAGATGACCTAAGTTCAATCATTTAATGTGAATGAGGAAAATCAAACCATCAACAGAACTTATTTGTTAAATGATCAGATGTCAAAGTAATACTAAAACATACTGCAAGGCTAACACAACATCGTATATCAAAGACTGACAATATTTTGGATGGCCAGAACAGCCTCCTTACGTTTCAAGGTT